ACTTTCAAAAATTAGAGTTAGAAAACAAAAAAGGAACCAGGTAACCAGATGATTTTTATGGAAATCAATCTGCAGACTACACTATGAACCACTCTTTTAATGTAAATTTAATATTGTGAAATTATTTAAGTAAACCAATATAACTAGAAAAAAAAAATTAAGCTGTTACTTTAAGTTGGGATAAAGCCTTCCCCAAGTGTTATACAGCACTCTGCTGGCTAATAAAGGATGATCACTAAAGCTGAATTCCAAAACAATGTGTAAGGATGCAAGGAAAGCCAACGCATTTTCTATCATATATGTAATATTGGCAAGACCCAAAGGAAGAACCAGAATTCCAGACTGAAGCACCAGAGGTAAATGACTGTGGAAATTTGTCTAATTTTACATTCCTTCCATAACTCAAATGTTATAACCAACAAGAGTACTGTTTTACTACAAACATAAAATATTATACAACAAATGACAGTATGACTAACATTCACTATGTGCCAGGCACATGTGGTAAGCATGCCAGGCACTATGCCAAGCATCAGCTCACTTATTCCTCACAACAATCATGTATGTTAATATGAGGTTAAGGATGTGGAAAGCAGTGGGTAGGATAATGTTGGTAAGACTACATACTTCTTCAGAACATGGTGGTATAACTATACTTCTTTCTTCCCCACATCACTTCAACTTTTCTTTTTCTACCTAAAGCATTGGTCTAGGAGCAGGGCTGCAAGTGCAGGTGCCAGAAGCAGAGGATTTCTAAGCAAGAAACTATAACTGTATCTTCAAAATTCCCAAGAGCCTGATGGGGTGCGTTGTGCCATCATCTCATCTGGCAAAACTGGGCTGACACTGAGTACAGATGTATCACCTAGTGTCAAGAGCCCACTAGGTCTGTACCTAGGTAAATCTACCTATAGGGATGGAAGTGGACTGAGGGGAGGCACACGCTAGGCTAATATTGCTGCCAGCAATCTGGACCAGCACAGTGGCCAAACTTAACATCCCTTCTAAAGTAGAAAAGTTTGGGTACAAATGGAGACAGGTCAGAGTGTTTAGTTGAGATAAAGGAATTAATAAATGGATTATGTAATGAGAGAAATTCAATATTACACTGCCACCATGAGAGGTTAAAAGCAAGAGACGACACTGTCTCTTGGTACATCAGATTCTTGAAAGGGTGAAACCATATGTTGGTGAGACCACTCCTGATTTTAGAACCTGATAAAGTCAAACAGAAGCCTGCAAATCTAAGTGGCATTGTTCTGGGAGACATCTTGGTAATATATGAGGATGAACTGCAGTAATAGTTAACTAAGACTCTAGTAATATGCCAGTATCTCTGCCTCTTATTTTTCAGGTCACACCTACTGTCATTCTGTGATATGGTGTAACACTGGCATGGTTGGTAAGGTTATAATACTAATATTGATGTATTGGTAAACTGAGTTAAAGCCTCTTTAGGATGAATGTGAGTAAAAAATGACTGGCCTGAGGGAAAAACTGGACTTAGCTAATCATCAACTAATTTCTATGATCAATATTTCTGCTCAAGTTTATCATAAGGTACAAATAGCAGCAGATGGAGTAGAGCAGCATAGAAAACATTCAAACTGGTACAAAAATATGAGTATGTATGTAGTGGCTTTACAGAATAAATCAGTTGTTTCTTCAAATCTATCCCTAATTGACACTGGCTCCTCAAATGTTGGGCTTATTCATAATGATCACATTGCTATCTATGTCTGTCATATAAATGTGTCTGTCATATTTATGCCCAGATAAACATGATTGTTTTTGTTTAAAAGACTTGGCCGATGGCCAAGGCATAGTCTGTATAGTAAAGAATTTGGCCTTGCCCAAAGAAGTCTAGCCTCCCCGCTAGGAAGCAACCTATGTCATACCTGACAGGAGTGTTTTTGTTTAAGGTCGGGACTGGCCACACTAGAAACAACCACCACCATGTGATTTAGGGTGGGGCTTTGGGTCACACAGCCTCAACCACCCTTGAGGCGGAGATCAACCATGTGAGCAAATAAATCTAATGAGTCATATCTACAATAATGGAGCCCAGTGAAAAGTCTGGACATTGAACTTGACTCTATCCTGTCACACACTGATGCTGGGAGAGGAGGAATGCATCCCTTTTTTTTTTTTTTTTTTTTTTTTTTTTTAGGAGGAAGCATCTTGACTCCATGGATGAGGACAATAGAAATTTTGCATTTGGAACCCTCCTGATTCTATTTTATGCATCTTTCCCTTTGGCTGATTTTCATCTGTTTCCTTTTCTTGTAATAAACCTTAACTGTGAATAAAACAGCTTTCATTCAGTGAGCTCTGAGTCCTTCTAGTGAGTTATCAAACCTAAGAGAGGTTATAGGAACCCTCCCAAACTTGCAGTTAGTGTCAGAAGTAAGGGAAGTCTCGGGGACTATGCATTCAGTTTGCCTAACTTCAGGAAGGTAGGTACTCTATTAACCCATTCTGCATTGAAGAAAGCAAGGTATAGAGAATAAATAAACTGCGTGAGAGGGAGACCTTTTAACATATAGTGCTAGAACACAAACCTTGGTTTGGTTGACTTTATGCCCACACTTTTAGTTTTATTTTGCTTTACACAAGATGACTACACACAGTACCATGCATTAGATGGATAGGTATTTCACTACTATAATGTATTTCACTAGTATGACATTTTAAACCTTTTGCTTCTTTTCTCACCAAACTTGAACCAAAGTAATTAGAGTTAACTATTAAGCATAAATTAATAATTATTACTATCTACAGTTTTGACCATTACCGGTTTTGTGCAGTGAATGTTTCCCTCTGAGGATGAAGATCACTATAAACAACCCTGATGAGATCATGCTGACACAATGCCCCTTCTGTCAAAGCCATGGATCCAATTGTTGAGGGCTACAAAAATAAGGTAAAGTATGAGACTGTGTCTTTAAAATGAAGTAAAAATCTGTATCATATAAGGACATTTAGCTTTGTTTTAGCAGAAGGCAGTTTAAGACCATTTCTCTTATTTAAAACCTTTTGCATTTTTCAATTACATATATTCTACAGCTCTTTTTGGAAATTATATATAATACATAAAACTAAAAATATACTGCTTTGTTTTTGGAAGATTATGGAATGAATCTATATTTAGAACACAGAATAAGAAAAGTTGCCAGAGGGGTGCCTGGAGCTCAGTCAGTTAAGTGTCTGACTCTGCTCATGCTCGCCCCCTCGCTCTCTCTCTCTCTCTCTCTCTCTCTCAAAAGAAAAAAAAAAGTTGCTGGAAAGACTAAAGGTTATAAAAACATCAATTTTATTTTTAAAATTAAAAAAATTTTTTTTCAGATTCATCAATTTTAATTTATTTGTATTCCAGAACACAAAACAGGCTTGAGACTTCACTGTACATTTAAATTCTGCAGTTTGTCTAATTTCAGGTAGGTAGATACTTTGACTAATCCCATTCTACAATGAAGAAAACAAGGTGCATGGGTTAAATAGGTGATGGGGATGAAGGAGTACACTTGTCATGATGAGCACTAGATGAAGTAAGAAAATTGTTGAAATCACTATAGTGTATACCTGAAACTAATATAACACTGTATGTTAACTGGAATTAAAATAAAAACTTAAAGCAAGGTACAGAGAGTTATAAACAATATTTAAGACTATAATCAAATGTCTCTTTACTAGTGACACGATTGATTAGATGTTCCTAAAGTTAGAAGCATCCATTCATAAATGTTTCACTATCCTCTGTTTTATTTCGTAATATGATACACAGAACTTAATTAAAATCTAATTAAGATTATATTCTCAGAAATATTTTATGCTAAAACAAGTCTTGGCTAAATAGGAGGCATTCTATTTCCAATACACAATGAAGTCCCACGGGAATTAATTAAGAAAATAAATAGCAGCATGGAGTTGTGAAGCAAGAGGATACTGTTTACTGATAAGAAAATGGAATATAATTTTTGGACTACTGGTAAAGTTTCTTTAAGTGCTTTCCTTATAACTTTATACACCAAAGGCCACTATAGACCTGAAGCTTGATTCATAGAATATATCCTTAAATAAAGCAGGCAGAAGGATTTCAGCTTAACAGCAGCCTTCTACCTATTATGATTATCAGGGTTCTCACATTGTTCAAATAAATATAAGCAAAACTCAAAAGTGTGCTGTTAATGAATAGACACAGTGCATCAGTTATAGACTCCTTTAAATGGAAATAATTGGTATTAATATCCTTTTAAGTAGACAGTTTCCTAAAAAATAATAAAAAAATCAATCTAACACAGATTTCTAATGAATATGGAAGACTTCAAAAAATTAAAGAATATATATATTTTTTTTTAAATATATTTTTTTAACATTTTATTTATTTTTGGGACAGAGAGAGACAGAGCATGAACGGGGGAGGGGCAGAGAGAGAGGGAGACACAGAATCAGAAGCAGGCTCCAGGCTCTGAGCCATCAGCCCAGAGCCCGACGTGGGGCTCGAACTCACGGACCGCGAGATCATGACCTGAGCTGAAGTCGGATGCTTAACCGACTGAGCCACCCAGGTGCCCCAAAGAATATTTTTAAAAATTCATAAAAGACTAATAAAAAAGTGAAAATGATAGTGGTATAAGAATGAAAAAGAAATAAATAAGAACTAGAGGAAATTTTCCATTAATTACTTTCTGCCTCTCTTGATAACAGCATAGCTTTACATCACTAACAGGCACCTACTCTTAAGAAGTAAATCAATAAAGATGTGTTAGTGTTTATCTCTGGTGAAAAATTGACTTTGATCTCTTATTCAATATAATTTTTTATAAAAATTTTTTTCATGTTTATTTTGAGAGGAAGAGAAAGAGAAAGTGTGAGCGGGAGAGGGGCTGAGAGGAGAGAGAATCCCCAGCAGGCTCTGTGCAGTGCAGAGCCTGACGAGGGGCTCTATCTCACAGACCATGAGATCACGATCTGAGCGAAAATCAAGAGTTGGACACTTAACTGACTGAGCCATCCAGGCACCCCATCTTACTCAGAGTAATTTTAAATAATTCTACCTTTCCAATCTTACTTACCTCATGGTATATTGAAGGCTTGGATAAGGAAGGGATAGTAAAAGACAGAACTTTATTGTTTCCATCTTTATCAGCAATTTCCTATAGTTAAAAAATACATACAAAGATAAATAATCACAGGGCTATAAGAAAAAAATTCTTAATTTACCAATATATCATTGACAACTGAGGAAGAGTTTTAGAAATAGCAATATACAAAAAATATTACTATCCTAGTGTATCTTTTCTAACCTATTAGCAAATTACACAGTTTAGTAGTTGAGTTACCCTCTGAGAGATATGCAGCACAATACTATAAATACTATAACTAAATCAAATGCAATGTGACAGCAAAGACATAAAGCGGGCACACAAATCATCTTTCATGTTAAGTTTACAGATAGGACAGGGAGATTATAAGCAATTAGATCTGAGTCAAACAGATTATATGTTTTAGCCAAGAAATACACTTATTAAATAAGAAAAAACACATTACTCTAACACAGAATGAATCCTGACTAAAAAAAACTGTTACAATTATTCAGCAAAAGACTAATGACCCAATTTAAGCTACATATTAACATAATGAATATTAGTCCAAGTGATTAAAAATATTCATATTTAGGTAATTTTTACTGAATTGCAAGAAAATTGTTTTCTTTTAAAAGCACTTTATCTTTCAATGAAAAGGACAATGGTGTCCTTCATTTCTAGTCTCTGGTACCTCTGGTGGTCTACAGGTATCAATAAAAATCTGCCTATAGACACTAGCATATAGAGGGATGAAATGCTCCTCCATTATCACTCCTTTCCTCTACTGCCTCATTTGGTCTATGTTTCTTTTACATATCAATTAATTTTAATTAATTTATTTTACATATTAATCCACATTAATATATTCATAATTAGCATAAAATCCAGAGAGAGAAGGCTGCCCCCTTAGTAGACCTAGAAGAAAGGTCAGAGACAGACTGAGAGTTACACAGCACAAATGGAAGATACAACAACAATAACTATCATCAACAAAACAAAAACCCAAAAGAACTTCTCTGTAGGGCTCATTTCTGTTTAATATGTCACAGGAGAGTACCAATTATATGTGAACATTGGCCTTACCTCTAATTTTGGCAGGAAAATGGGTTTAAAAATTCCTTGGAGAGATCATTTAACTATTTTGTAGTCAAACTAGTTATTACCACATTCAGGCCAGTATGCCTCAGAGAAAGTCTACGGTAAGACGGATGGACCTAATTTAAGTTAGGCAATACGACTTTAATTTTTATTCCTAAATTTCAAATTAAGCCAAATAACTTTTATTTATATTTGTGTGTTCTTGAAGAAGGATGTTCTACAGTTTGTTTAAGCTGAGGGCAATATAAAACTCCCTCTGAGGCTACGTGAAACAAGAGAGAAGTTCTCGAGAGGGAAAGTGAAAAAAAGAAAATAAATATATAAAAGAAACCCTAGGTGGTAAGAAAAATTGAGAGCCACAGAGAAGAAAGAACACAGACAGTAAATGAATTAGAAGACAGAAGCCTGGGTTACATTCTGATATATAACTGACCATTTACTTTGTAAGTACACTATTTTTAAGATGCTAAAAGATAATTAAACCATAGCACCAATAAGCACTGTTAAGAACTTGTCAGCATCCTGCTTAAAAATACTTTGCTTCATTTGTCCCACTACTGGATTTTATTACGTTAAAAAAATGAGTAAAAAGATAGCTTAATTTTCAACATAATTGAAAACACCAAATTCAATTATTAAATCAACATACATCTACTAAGTGCCTGTGCTAAGTACTAGAGGAGAGAATAATATATGAAACAAATTTCCTGCTTTAAAAGAAAAAACAATCAGGCAAGTTGGCAAATTAGAGAATTTTATACCTAGACCAGCTTTTCATGTAAAAAAACCTCTCCCTTAATACTACTTGATACTGCTACTACTATTAATGACATTTATTAAACACCTCAGGTAGTATGTGGATTCTCCTAATTGTTTTTTTGTTTTTAAGATTTTATTTTTAAGCAATCTCTAAACCCAATGTGGGGCTCAAACTCACAACCCCAAGATCAAGAGTTGTATGCTGTACCAACTGAAACAGCCAGGCACGCCTCTCCTAATTGTTTTTAATCCTGTTAACAATGTTTTATTTCTGTTTTACAGATGAAGCAACTGAAGTCAAGATATTAAGTAACCTGACCAAATTTAAAACAGCAAACAAATGGCAGGGCCTAGTTTTAAATAAAATACAAATGATTTCAAAGGCCATACTCCTTTCTTCAGATATACATTCCAGGGATAGAAATGTTTTCTAATGATCTTTTAAGGGATAATACTTTGAGGGTTGAACATTGGTATAGAAAAATATTTATTTACAGTGAAACTCAATGTTTTGTGAGGTACTTTACCCTTGTTGGGATGACCACTGGGTGTTATATGTAAGTGATGAATCACTAAAGTCTACTCCTGATATCATTATTACACTATATATTAACTAACTTGGATTTAAATTTGAAAAATTAATATGGAAAAAAAATTTTATTATGTGGAGTGCTTGTTTACAATGAATACTAAATACAAAGGATATCTTCAAAGAGCAAGAATTTCAATACCAAAGTCCTAACTGGACACTGTGGGGAAAAAAAAACCCAGAATAATGTTTAAGATACTTAAGAATTTCTTAGAAGAATTTCAAACAATACGGTGTCAAGTATATAATATTTTATCAAATGATTATTCAAAATAAATTTCAAAAATTTTAAATGGAGCACATTCATAAACATTGGTCAAATAAAGTAATTTAAAGATAAGTCACAAAATATTAACAATGCTATCAATTATAATATTTTCACCTATTTTATAAAATGCATTATTGGCAATAATTTATTAAGACTCTCATAAATTCAAATAAATTACTCAGTAGACCTTTCAATTTATTTTTTTAATAAATATTCTTTAAGTATTACTTCAGAAGATTTTTACAAAATACTTAAAGTTTCCCAAACTATCTTTTTCAACTTACCAAATTGTAAATTCCTAACAGAAGTGCTTCAATGCAGCCATTACTCTGTCTGTCTCGGCTAACTGTAAGCCGTAAATAAACCCACATCAATTCCGGCAAGAACTGCAGTGTGAACCTCTTAAGTCGAACTTCAGAGCTACGATAGAGCTCAAATAGCTGGTGGCAGACAGGCTCCAGAAGCTAAAAGGAAAATAAAGTACATTAGCTATTTCTATTCATTTGCTGTAACTGTGTTTTTTTTTAAGCACATATACTTGTGTAATATTTAAAAAATAAATTTTCAGTATTAATTTTTGCATATTTTGAATCAATGTGTCCTAAACCTTAATCTCTACCTATGCACAGAGACTATATATTAAACTGACCAATTTACTAACTTTAAGTATTTTGTGCCCATATAATATGAATTTATTTTTCAATACACTAATCCGTTAACTTTGTTAGATAATTATTTAACCAATGTACTACATTTATATTAAGTTTCCTTTTCTATTATTATCAGCCCTTACTATCCTCCACTTTAAAAAGTTTCTATTGAAAGAAAATAACTTCAAATGCTCTTGTTGGAAATAAACTTTAAATCTCAACTTAGATTATGATTTAAATAAAATTATATACTACTCAGTAGACAAAGGGATTTTGCAATATATAATTGGATATCCAAAATGTTAGCTAATATTTTACATACATACAAGTAAAACAAATGAATTACTTTTATGTTTTAAGACTGACTTAAATTCTACTAATTATATTTAAGATTTTGAAAATATAGGAATAGCTTTTTTAGTGTTAAATTTTTCATATGATATCACACAATAGGACTTATGAAGATCTTTATCACCTTGAAAACTAAAGAAAATGAGCAGGTTAAATAAACCTCTCCCTTTTTCCTAATCAGGTACTGCCAATCTAAAACGGTTTTGTTCAAATAACTATAGACCACACAAAACTGGGTATGATTTTAAAATGCAAATAACACATTGACAAGAAACTATAAAAAATGTCTAAATTAAAATTTAATACTAGCTTTAAAATGAGTCATTCAGTATTTATATGCTACCTTCTTTTCTGAATGATTAAATAATGCATATACATTTGGAAATCTGTTTGAATGAAGTTATATAGGTCTGTAATAACCTAACCGTCTAGAATAAGTCACTACTTTCAGGATTGCAAATCAAAAATCAACAAACCCAATGTTAACTGTACAGTTAATATATTTAGATGAGCTAAGCTTAGCTCTTAGGGAATGACTGTAAAGCTAAAAAAGTTCACACACATGTACACCCTCGTGTCTAGTAACTACTAGGCCCATTATGTGAAATCACTGTCATAATATTTACAATCTTCAAAAAATTTAAATTCTCCCCTTAAACAGAAGTCTAGACTAGTCAGACAATTTGCTCAAAGTCACAGAAGTTAGTGGTGGAGGAAGACACTTAAAATTCAGGTCTTCGAACACCAAGTTGATGCTTCCACTATCCCACATTTCTTATACTAGAATGAAGGTTGAGAGTAGGAGGTGAGGATTATTTAACTACAAATAGTATATTCCGTGTAGTGTCAATAATGAAGTAATAAATTTCTGAAAATAGTCAACTGCTGGTATCTTTTTAAAGTACTGACAAAAAAGCTCTTTTGGGGAATTAAAGATTGCTGCTCTCATAAGTGTATTTATTAAAAATATATATCCATGTTTTAAATCTGTTTTCCTCTTTAGTCAAAGACTCCAGAATTGCTGTCTCTCAATTTTATTTGCCATGGTACAATTATGATTCGTTTCTGTTATAAAGACCTTAACTTCCCTTCCTCAGTAGCAAGAACCACAATGGCATGTAAGAGACTACATTTTAACTAAGCATAGCAAAGAAATACAGAGTTGTCAAAATTTTTACTCTGCTTTTTTTAAAAATGGGGAGGAGGAGGAGTTTGGTCAGAAATCAATGATGAAGGAATGAGGAGGGATAACTGCAGGAGCAATCTTTGAGGTGGCCAGAGAATGTGATCCAGGCCTAAGTACAAGAGACACTTTGATACCACCTGAGACACTTCATCCACTGAACAGCAGAAAAGGCAAAAGAATGTAGGTGGAAAAGCTGGTAGAGTGGTAGATAGGAAGGGGAAAATATGAGAGTTCCCAATTATCTTCTTCTTTTTTAAGGACACAGAAAGCAAGCTGGAGATGAGGAAAAGGAGGGTAAGAGTATGAGGAAAGAGAAGGTGTAAAATGCAGTGGGACAGTGTACCAAGAAAGTAAAGCAAGAATGCAAGGCAGTATTATGTGACCTTGAGCCTTTTAGTCCTGCATTTAAAGTGGAGAAAGTCAACAAAACTGTGTTCTGCAAGTATGTTCTGCTGCTCAGGTACAGGCCTGAAGAAGATGGATGGCTGGATTTTTTCCAGTGTTGAGATTTTCCCCCAAAGAAAAAGAACTAATGAATGGAATGAGAAGCAAAGGAGCTAAGAATGTTTGCAAGGAAATGACCTATGAAAATTTAGCTGGGTAAAGAGAGAAGTGAGCCATGTGAAGGAAGAAGGAAAGGGAATCAAATCATGAAAAAGTGATAGGGTTAACATAACGATTAGATGGAGGTCTTCCTGAAGGGGAAGAACTGCAAGAGTGACTACAGGATCAAGAACAAAGGAAATGAGGAAAATTAAGCAATATGTTTGGTGTAGAAATCTCTAGAACAAAGGAAATGAGAAATAAAGCAATATGTTTGGTGTAGAGATTAAAATTTCAGCTGCAGTACAGGTTGGCCATGATATGTAATACTAAACTAGGAAATACACTTTCTTAAGAACTTTTAAGGTCTTTAAAGCAAAACTGTAAGATCACCGTAAGCTTCAATTAATATTATATGTGGCATGTGACGATTTTCTGAAATAATTTCCTGTTAACTAAGTAAAACAGTTATGTTTCAGAATACAATAAAATCAGGACTAAAAGGGGCCTCCTTCTATAACTGAAATCCAGAATTAGTTTGAGATTCTATAGAGCTCTACATTCTGCTTTTCTGAAATATGACCACATGGTTAGAACCTTATAACCTGACAGGAGAAAAGATGGAAAGACAGCTCTGCTCTGGCAACTGGTTGATTATAATGACTACTGTTGAGTTTTATCTCTCAAGCTGTAATTTTCCAATTCTACCTATGATAAGGTCTCATACATTATTATGAAGTATTACAATATAAAGTAATGTGAATAGCTTTTTTTAATGTCAGAGCTTCTAAAGTATAAAAAAGGAAACCAATCCTTTTTATATACTTGTGAGTGTTAATGAAAATGATAGCATTTTAGAATCTCATTTTGTGTTTCACTATTCTTCTAATCAATATTTACTAAGTGTTCATTATGTACATGATAATATACTAGATTCTAGGGAAGTAACAAATACAGACTATATGACCACTGCTCATGAAGAGCTTACAATGTAAAGAGAAAGCATAAAACAAATTTTAATAAGCAAAGCTTAAATGTTAAGACAGTGCAAAACAAGGGGTAGGAAATAACACACATTCATTATTCAAACAGAATTTTGAAAACTCCTAACCAAAAAGGATATGAATATATATACATTACTACACCTAAAGTTATAAAACATAAATACACAGCAAGAGAAAAAGAAGCAAATGAATCCTGCAATTGCTGCTATAAACAGCAACAGATGCAAGCCTAACTGAGAGCCAATCCAAGTTTAGGAGATAGTAAAGAAAGAGGTCAATAAAGCAAGCTTTTAGTGGTAGGACAAAAATTAAGATGCACTTTAAATTAAGCTGCTGGTTAGGAGATGATTACCTGAACTTCTTCAAACTCACTCCAGTACACAGCAGAGGCACTCTTGGAGGCTGTATCTGGGAAGATAAGAAGCTACTTTCCTGTGTGTTCCTTTCATTTTCATTTTATAGCATACATGAATCCAGTGGTGATAAAACTATATGTCATACTATTGTGTTAATGGAAAGATAATGTGTGTATTTTGCATAAATTAACATATAGATTCAACAGCTGAATTTTTTTTTCCTTCTTCTATCACAAAGCTGAATAAAAGGAAACTCTTACTCTAAGTTTATTGATCTTAACTATTTAGGCTAAATAGTGCTTTCTCCAATCATTTTCAAGCTAAATTTACTAGCAGCATCATTTCATGTTACCAGGTTGAGTTCACTGATCAGAGTAATATATACACTTCCACACTGTCAATAAAATAACAGCAAACACACTTAAAATAAAAAAAAGCTGAATCAGCGTAAGGCTAACATTTGGATTCTAGAAAAGGAAACATCCCAAACAGAAACAGAGAAAAGTTTCAAATTAATAAGTAATCTATTGAGATGATGGTCACTCAGATCAAGACTCAAAACATACAGTCCTCAACAGGAACAAATCTGTCAAAACATTTAAAAATATAAAGAGGGAAGGGAAAGGGAAAGCCAAAGCAACTATCAGAATGAAAAATAGTAGAAAGAAAGTTTTCCAGTTCCATAAGAAGGATTTTAAAAAAGAGGAGGGAAAACTACAAAACTTACATATGTGTTTTAGTACACATATTTCACTTTACTATGTTGAAATTATTTTTCTTATAAGCTTTCCTACCTCATTATTCGAATCTTGAATAACTTTATAGAGGGCTGGGACCAGTGTTTTTTTCCGGTGTAAAGTTGCTGCATAATTGGTGATCTGAGTGTCAGGTAACGCCTAAAAGAAACATCAAAGGAAATCAAAAGCAAACTTGGTATTTGGGAAGTCAGGAAATATATTTTACCTCAGTTTCTCTTGAAAAGATTTATGATAGAGTCAATTAAGAAAAGTAAAGATAATTAATACAAGAAATATCATTAGAGTTAATAAGACAAATTAAGTTAGGATGTTATAGTGTACAGTTCTTCTAACTAGTCAACCATGAAAAATTATTAGAAATCACACGTACCAAGATTTGCTGAAAAGGGTCACTTTAAACTAACCTACTCTAGGGGCGCTTGGGTGGCTCAGTCAGTTAAGCATCCGACTTCAGCTCAGATCATGATCTCACAGTCTGGGAGTTCGAGCCCCGCGTCGGGCTCTGTGCTGACAGCTCAGAGACTGGAGCCTGCTTTGGATTCTGTGTCTCCCTCTCTCTCTGCCCCTCCCCTACTCATGCTCTGTCTCTCTGTGTCTCAAAAATAAATAAAAACACTAAAACAACAACAAAAAAACCAACCTAGTCTAAAAAAAATAAGTATAGAATACACACACACACACACACATATAATTTAATAAGTTTTATTTATTTTGGGGGAGGGAAAGAGGGCACTTAGTGCAGAGCCTGATGTGGGTGGAGCTCAAACTCACGAACTGTGAGATCATGACCTGAGCTGAAATAAAGAGTTGGATGCTTAACCAACTGAGCCACACAGGCGCCCCTAGAATATATTTTTATTCTTGCATTTTATACTTATGAAACATTTATTTCTATTAGTGTTCAGAAGTTATATAGTTTTAAATAAAATCAATGAATGATTTTTAATTACAGGAAATAAAAATATAAGACACAAATCCTATGTCTGTGCCTTATTAAAGCTTGGACGCTTCCCCTTTTTTATTAAATATATTTAAAAATGGATATATCCCCTCATCAATCCTAACAACTTTTTTATTTTTCCATATTACCTTCTAGCCATTATTCACCTTAGTGCCTTTTTAAAGAGTTACAATTACAGAAACACATTATTTCGTATTTTGCCATTTCCACTTCATATCATAACATTTGTTTCGGTTTCTCCAGAGCACATATTCACTGTTTGAATTATGGACATATAGAATCATATGATACATTCTTATCACCAATCCAATTTACCTTGAATTCTGATAACCATTCTTCCACAACACCACGTTCAGATCCCAGCATCTTCTTCTAACTTCTAGTCCTTTTTTTTTTTTATCTCTGAAAGAAAAAAAGCACCAAACTTGAAGATGGCATCATGTACTTAAAGGAACTACCAAAGGTAAAGGATGTGCACCTTTCACTAACAGAAAAACTAACCTTGTATATATTTTAGATAAGAAGGCTTACTTCTAGACTAGAGCTCAATTAAAACAAAACTTATTTTTAAGAAATAAATTCTATTTTCAGGGATATATTTGAAACTTCTTTTCCTAATACTTTTATATTTTCCCCAAGAAATATATTTCAAAGTGGCAAAAACAAGTTTATACTTCCTCACAAGAACATGCCCCTTGTGAAGGACCTCCTCCACCTGTCCTGGAAGAGAAGAGGAAGTACAAGAAGAAACACCTGGTGCAGAGCCCCAACTCCTACTTCATGGACGTGAAGTGCCCAGGATGCTACAAAATCACCACCATCTTTAGCCATGCACAAATGGTTGTTTTGTGTGTTGGCTGTTCCACTGTCCTCTGCCAGCCTACAGGAGGAAAAGCAAGGCTTATAGAAGGATGCTCCTTCAGACAGAAGCCCTTAAAGTACCCGGACTCAAGATGAGTAAGAAACTATTCCAATAAACAGATTTGTGATAAAACAAAACCAAAACCAAAAAACAAGTTTACTGAGTAAAATCAAACTGCACATTACCCAAGACAAATGAATAGTCTATGCTTAGAGCTTCTGCCAAATATACAATTGGAATTAAGTTACATTTCATACAACAAACCATGGGACAGATTATAAATGACAAATATAGAAAAGCTAGAAATCAAGGGTCATATATTCAGCACACTGATTATAAATGTTTATACAAATAAGGGCTTTAAAGAAGGTAGATTTATATTTTTTCTATAATGGAGAAATATCCAAGTAGAAAAAGCAAGTTGTACAATTATGTGAACTATAATTCCATTAAAAAACTAAATAAAATGTGAAAAAAGCCTGGACGAATATATCCACTAAACTCTTTTAAGTGTTTACCTCTGAGGTAAGGAATACTGAGGATATTCTAATTATGTGTAACTCTTGAGTTACAGAAAAAAATTAAAACAGCCTATATTATTTTTAAAGTGAGAAAGACAATGAAAAGGTCTTGGATTTTAATTTAATTTAAAGGCTCAAAAAGTAAGAGCTAGGGGCACCTGGGTGGCTTAGTAGGTTAAGCGTCCAACTTCGGGAGAGGTCATGGTCTCACAGTTTGTTAGTTCAAGCCCTGCATAGGGCTCTTTGTTGTCTGCCCAGAGCCTGCTTTGGATCTTCTGTCTCCGCTTCTCTGCCCCTTCCCTGCTCACACTCTGTCTCTCTTTCAAAACTAAATAAGCACTGAAAAAAAGAAAAAAGTTAAGAACTAGAAAAAATAAAGAACTTCTTTGAGGGGAGAATAATGTCTTCAAAGCAACTGAAATAAGTTTCTTTTTTTTTTTTTTAACGTTTATTTATTTTTGAGACAGAGAGAGACAAAGCATGAACGGGAGAGGGTCAGAGAGAGGGAGACACAGAATCTGAAACAGGCTCCAGGCTCTGAGCTGTCAGCACAGAGCCCGACGCGGGGCTCGAACTCACAGACCGCGAGATCATGACCTGAGCTGAAGTCGGCCGCCCAACCGACTGAGCCACCCAGGCGCCCCTGAAATAAGTTTCTTTATTAAAAGATAGTATTTCCTAGAAGTGTGTCAAATTTCACATTAAATTTGTCCCTATAAAAAGGAATCAGATTTTCTAATTCTCCCCCTTCAATTCCAAAAGGACTTTTTAATGTCTCTCTATAATGCACTATATCAAGTACGATGTAAGGAAGGAGTATGAAGAGGAGTAAGACATTCCCCTTATTTTCAATTAGCAAATGCTGTTAGGAGTAAGGCATTTCCTTTACTTTCAAATAGCAAATGCTGTTAAGATAGACTGATGAATTTAGTCAAATAAATTTCTAGGGAAAAAATATAGTAGGAAAACCTAACAGATTAAAAAAAATCAATAACCAACATATGAATCTTTCTTGGACTCTGATTCAAACAAGTAAAAAGTGTATGATACAACTGGAGAAAGCAGAACACGACTGGTTATTTGATGATAAAATTAAGGAATTATCATAGGTTATTTTTATATTTGATAACTATTATAGTTAGGTTGGCTTTTTTTTGTTTTTTGTTTTAATACTGCTTGTTTCTTAAAGTTACATACTGAAATATTTACTGGTGAAATGTGTCAGAGACTTGCTTTAAAATAATCAGGGCAGGGGCACCTGGGTGGCTCAGTCAGCTGAGTGCCCAACTCTTGATTTCAGCTCAGTCATGGTCCCAGGGTCATGGGATTGAGCGCCACGTCAGGCTCGGTGCTGAGTATGGAGTCCGCTTGGGATCTTTCTCTCTCCCTCTGCCCCTCTCCCCCTGGTTGCGCTAGCGCTCTCTCTCTCAAAAATAAAAATAAATAAATAAATAATCAATCAATCAATCAATCAGGACAGGAGCAGAAGCAGGAGGAGTCAAAGAAGGAAAGCTAATTAGGTATAGATGAAATATGACTGGCTATGAATAACCATTCAAGCTGAATAACTGGTATATATGTTTTATTACACTAATATCATTACTTTATTATAAGTTTGAAATGTTCCATAATAAAATTTCAGAAAAAAAGGATTAATAAACACTACATAAAAAGATAAACACAATACCCATACATACACAATTTTGCAAATAATTTCTGGGAGTTCAGATCAACTAAAGCTCATTAATAGACATGGACACTCAAGTTACAAACTCTTGCTGAAGAAATAAGACTCTTAAAACATAACTTCACAGGGGAGCCTGGGTGGCTCAGTCGGCTAAACATCCGACTCTTGGTTTCAGCTCAGGTCATGATCGCCAGTCTGTGAGCTTGAGCCTCACAGTGGGATCTGTGCTGCTTGGAATTCTTGGTCTCTCGCTCTCTGTCCGTCTCCCATTTTTGCTGCCCCCCCCCTCGCTTGCTCTTTCTCAAAATAAATAAAAATTACACTATCAACAATAGCCAAAGTATGGAAAGAGCCCAAATGTCCATCGATGGATGAATGGATAAAGAAGATGTGGTGTATATATATAATGGAGTATTACTCGACAATCAAAAAGAATTAAATCTTACCATTTGCAACTACGTGGATGGAACTGGAGGGTATTTTGCTAAGTGAAATTAGTCAGAGAAAGCCAAAAATCATATGACTTCACTCATATGAGGACTTTAAGAGACAAAACAGATGAACATAAGGGAAGGGGAACAAAATAATATAAAAACAGGGAGGGGGACAAAACCGAAGAGACTCATAAATATGGAAAACAAAATGAGGGTTACTGGAGGGGTTGTGGGAGAGGGATGGGCTAAATGGG